ACCATCTACCTATCTTTTGCATCCCCTAGCTACCCTCCTCTCTCATTTTTATAGATAAGGAAATTGACCGAGGGTAAGTGACTCCTCTCCATGAGGCCTGAAAGGGCCATGAGTTCTATAGCTAGCCGGACCCTTAAAGGTCCCATAGCTTTGTCTCAAGTCATACAGCCACTAAATGAGGCCGAGCCAGGATCTGAACCGAGATCCAAGGTTCCCACCGTCATGCCATGCCTCCCCGTTTGGTCTTTCAAGTTAGAGGGACCCCGTCCCAGCCTGAGGGCAAAGCAGAGGCTCAAACTTCCAGAGATTATGGACTGGACCCGGATCACCGGGAGGGGGGAAGCCAAGTGGCTTGACTCCCCAGCTCTCAGAGGGTTGTTCCTCAGGAATCGCTGGATCCAAGGTCTAGGAGCAGAAGGGCTTCTCCCGATCCGTCCTTCCTCAGGTTCTCGTGACCATCTCAGCTTGTGATTGTTAAAGTTCTCCCATCCCCCACCCGCCAAAAATGTTCCCTTTATATTTATCCCATACGACTCTGAGGGGCTCCATCTTCCTGGAGTTCAAATCCCCATCCCACTTCCACCACACAGACACCATCGGACCCCCTTTTCCTCCCTTTCATAGATCCCCCCCCACTTCATTTGAATGTCAGAAGAAAGTGACTTTTGTTTGTACACCCAGCCCTTAGCACAGAGTAAGTACTTAATACACGCTTGATCTGGCTAGCTATTTTCCATATGCTTATTAGTGTTTATTTTATTTTCCTCCCCTCTCTTTGTGGATGGTAAGCTCCTTGAGGGCAAGAATTGTTTCATTTTGGCTTGGTAGGCCCAACATACAGCACAGAGTAGGGACTCTGTCTAAATGCTCTTTGAATTAAATTTAATTAAATAGCAACATTCCATCACAGTATCTCTCTCTGCATCCTTCCTCAGACCCTAGGATGCTCAAGGGTTGAATTTACTTATGGTCTGATTGTGGTTTGTAGCTCATGCTCCCCCCTCACAGCATCTTCCAACCTGAGCCTCCATCCCTGTACCACTTTACAATCATGTTCCCAAACCCTCCCCTCCGCCCCCCAAAAAAATCAGCCTTCTGGATCCCAATCCCAAAAGAGCAGAGAAGGAGATGCTTCCTCCACTCCAGAAAGCGTTCAGTCCAAGACAACGGTGACTGCCACCCAAAAAGCAGCCTCTTCCCTGGGGTATCCGAAGCGACCGCCTTCACTAGGTCTCTTATTCATATCCTAGGGCAGGAGGACTCAGGGAAAGGGTATCTTGCTTTCTGGGTGGAGAAAACTAGGGGATTCTCCAGTAAAGTTATATAGTTAACTCCTACAGTCTTAATGTGCAGGGAGACAGTAGTACAGGAATGGAAGCACTTTGAGTGTGGGAGGGGAAAGAATCCAAATCCTAGCTCCTTTTCCAGCACTACCCTCTCCCACAGAGGAACCCAGAAAAACTTGACCCTCAGGCCTCAGTTTTCTCATCTGCAAACTGGGAGGATTTAGACCACATGATTTCTAAGGCACCTTCCAGTGTTAACAGTCTGTGAACCTATGAAATCACAGAATTCCCCTTTGTTTAACCTCTCTGGACCTCAGTTTACTCTTATTTAAAATAAGAGGACTGTACTGGATGACTTCTAAATTCTCTTCTAAGTGTGGGTTCTATGATCTTGCTGGACCCATGAAAGCTGACCTACATGGACCTAATCTCTGGAACTCCCTTGTCAATACTGACACCTTGTGGCCACCCTGAGAACTTCTCATGATACTTCAATACAGGTCAACCTTATTGTGAGTAAACCCAATATTAACTAATAATAATAGCAGACACATAGCTATTAATTTCACATAAAACATTTCTTTTGAGCCCCACAATAACACTGTGAAGTATGTGGGACAGGCATTAGCCTTCTACAGATAAGGAGACTGAAGCATAGGCTTGTCACATAGATTGTGACTTACCCAAGGTCACGGTAGCTGGTAAAACCAAGACTCAAGCTTGGGTCCTCTAACTAGAAATACAATGATCTTACTGTGCCTAGATATCTATTCATAATGATCAATCACATTTCCCTAGCATTTGAAGGAGCACAAAGCCTTCACTACAACTCTTAGAGGTATATGATCTGAGTATCATTTTACTTCTGGGGAAACTTGAGTCTGGGGGAGATTTAATTTCAATAGTTTTGCAGAAATGACCAAATCAGGAATTAGGAGAACTTCATTTTTAAAATGTGTCATCAAATGATATGGTTCCCCCAGGAGATGGAGAATTTGTTTACATAAAAATATTGCCTGTAACTTTTCAGAAATGCATCTCCTCCCTCCTTCCTAGACTTGGAGTCCAAGGACTTCTCTAAATTTTCATTCCAATTCTGCTGCTTGCTAACTATGGGTAAGTTACTTCACCTCCTGAAGTCTTTTTTTATAAACTGAGAATTATAATATTTGCCCTCCATCTGTTATGATGAAAGCACTTTGTAAATCTTAAACCACTATGGTTTCTAGCTATCATAATACCTTTCCAAATACTTTGTTGTTGTTCAGCTGTGTCTGACCCTTTGCAACCCCTTTTGGTGTTTTCTTGGCAAAGATACTGGAGTGGTTCACCATTTCCTGCTCCAGTTCATTTGACACATGAGGAAACTGAGGCAAAGAAAGTTAAGTGACTTGCCCAGCGTCACACAACTAGCATCTGAGGCCAGATTTGAACCTAGGAAGATGAATCCTCTGACTCTAGCCTGGCATTCTATCCACTGCGCCACCTAGCTAACCCAAAAATATTGTTATGTCATGTCCAACTCTTCATGCATGACCCCATTTGGTGTTGTCTTAGAAGAGATCTGGGGGTGGTTTGCCATTTCCTTCTCCAGCTCATCAGGGTTAGGATTACAGATGAGGAAACTGATGCAAATAAAGTTAAGTGACTTGGCCAGGGTCACACAGCTAGTGAGTGTCTGAGGTCAGATTTGAACTCAGGAAGATGAGTCTTCCTGACTCCAGGCCCAGCACTCTGTGCACTATGGCGCCACCTAAGGCTGAGTTCAAGTTCTGTTGTCTCAGGACCATTGTCAGAAGACCTAGATTTAGGAGAAACTAATTGGACAAGGGAGCCCAGTGAAGGAAAGGGTAGACCAGGTACAGGCCTATGCTAAGCGATGGTGTTTAAATTTCAGTAAGCATAGCTCCCATATATAGAACTCTTTAAGGCTTGCAAAGCAATTCCCCCACCTCGCCCACCCTGTTATCTCATCTTCACCTCATACCAATCCTGTGGGAGTTGGCAGTGTGGCACTATTCTCCCCTATTTCAAAGACAGGAAACTGTGGCTCAAAGACACTTAGGACCTGAACTTTAGGTGACTTGTCACAAAGCTAAGTAAAAATCAGAAGTGGGGTTTGAACCCAGGTTTCTTGTTTCCAGGTTCAAACCTCCATCAATAGAACCACAGATGTCTCAACATTGGTGAGTTGGACTCAGAAAATGCAAACCATTTTGGTTCCTGGTGAAACCAATACCACCTGGTGAAATTAAAATGTAACCGGGTGTTTATATCACAAAGTATTCCTGTTTTTGTCTCCCTGAGTGGAGAAGAACGTGACTGCCAATGCTAATCCCTTGGTCTGGGGTCATCCCTGGCAAGCCCCAGCTCTAGGTCACAAACTCCAGAAGGATGGGACCCAAAGCATGTTGCTGTAGAAAGAGCCTAGGACTAGAAGGCAAAAGTCCTTGCAACTAGTCCTGGCTCTGCCTCTTACTAGATGTGTGCCTGTGGACCAGTCGTTTCACTTCCTGGAGCTCAGTTTCCTTTTCTGTAAAATGGGAATAATAAAGCTTGTCCCTACCTACCTGCCTCACAGGTTATTGTTGTCAAGATCAGAGTATGGATGTGTGCCACACAAACACAGCTCTGGTTCAACCACCTGTGGAGTCCTGTGCTCACTTCTGGGCACCATAGTGTAGGAAGGATGTTGGAAAGCATCCTCAGGAGGGCAATCAGATGGTGAGGAGCCATCATATGGTCCATTCCATATGAGAACCATTGAAGGAACTGGGGATGTTTCACATAGGGAAGACTCACGGGGGACATGAAAGCTGTCTTCAAGTGTTTGAAGCCTTGTCATGTGCGAAAGGGATTATATTTGGTCTCAAAGGGCAAAATTAGGAGTTACGGGTAGATGGTGCAGAGACAAATAGGTTTGATAACAGGGGAAACTTTTTAGGGCTGTCCAAAAGTGAACATATTTGGGAGGTACTGGTTTACACCTCACCGGATGCCTTCAAATACAGGCTAGATGACCACTCGGTGGGTGTGTTGTAGTGGGAATTCTTTCGGATAAGAATCTAGTACAAATTCGGACTTGTAGTAGATGACCACTATGGTGCCTTCTTGCTCTAAAATTCTATGAGCAACTATCCTCTCATCATTGTCCTCTCCAAATTATACTACTTTGTAATTTTGTCACCAGGGGAGAGAACTCTGGTCACCCACTCCAAATCACGGTGCTTGTAATAGCAAGCACTTAATACATGCTTTTTCATTCATCTATTCATTCCAACTCCAATGTCAATCCTTCTTGTCTGTTAGTCACATCCTCTGCAGAGATGATAGGAGAGCTTGAAGGGTCCTTGGAGCTCATCGGATCCAATGCCCTTGTTTGGCAGATGAGGAAAGTGAGGTCAAGAGAAATGGAGTGACTGGCTCTGTCTTTTTCACTATATCATGAGCAAATCACTTCACTCCTCTCAACCTGCTTTCCTCATCTGTAAAACGAGAGGGTTGGACAAAATGGCTTCTAAGGTCCTTTCCTGCTCCAAATCCAATGATCCTCGGTAGCTTGTCACCCTCAATCTGAGACATTTCTGAAAACTGTTCTCATCTGGGCACAGGGACACTTCAGGGAGAGACTCTATCTAACTCATTACTGGCAGATGGTGCCAGTGGCCTGACCCAGCCACCAAAGGTCCCCAGAGAGAGCCGGGACCCAATGGCAGCAGACACAGTGGTTTTATTAGTTGTCCTCATTCAGAGGCACCAATTCAGCACATTTCAGGTCCCCTCAGCCTTAACCAAGGTGGGTGGCAGAAAAGTCAGATAGCTTATGGACTAGGAATCTGCCCCCAACTCCATAGAAGAAGGAAACTAGCCAGCATTGGCTATTAAAGGGTTGAGACCATCCTTTGGAGGAAAAGACGCTTGACCAATAGAGCCAGGGATGTTAGCAACCACATTTCTAGCCAGGGAGTAGCCCCACCTCCCCATGGGCCACCGTGGTCAAAGGTGCAACTGCAGAGTGAATGGGAGCTTAGTTTATATAGATAGTGCTGGGGAGAGATGGGATGGTGTTTCAGCCCCGATTTATGCAAAGATGTAGGAGCTAGACCAAGTGTCTCCTTCTCCCCACCCCACCCACGGGGGGGGGGGGGGGGAGGCATTCCAAGAGGGCTGAAGGAACGGGTTGGGCCAGACAAAGACTTCCCGTGGTTTCTCTGGTTCCTACCACCAGAATGCTCAAGTATCAGCCAGGCTCCAGGTTCCCAACTCTCTTTCTCCTTATCTCCTCCAGCCTTCACAATCCCAGCCCTTGTTCTCTGGCCAGACCAGGCAATGGCTGCTGAGACTAGCCCCAGCTCCCAGGCCCTCACATGAGGCCCAAGGCACAACAGAGCCTGGACTGATCCCAGTTCTAGAAACTGGAAGGGTTGGGGCCCAATGAAGCCTTTTTTTTTTTTTCAGGCATTCTGATCTAATTCATACTGGGAAACTTTGATCAGAAGGAAAAATGGTTGGGCAGACATGCAAATAATATACAGGTATATGCTAATGAGCACTCTTCCCTCACCCTTTAGGAGTTCCCATGAGAGCAGGGTATAAGAAGAATGAGAGGGACACCCAAGGAAGAAAGACAGAAATCAGACAGTGCAGAGTGTAGAGCTAGGCAAAGCCTAGCTTCCAGCCCAACCCCCCCTCCAGGTTTCCCCAAGAGTCGAGGGCTGAGGGAAGGGTAAGAACTATAGAACTGAGCCCTTCTCCAGCCTACGGAGCAAGACCCACAGCTGAGACGGCTCCTAGACCGAGGGGTGGAAGGCCTGGATCAGGTTAGGGTTCCACCATCACACTGCTGTTGGTTACCCGGACACCAAACCAACCCTTCCAGTAGACTGTGTCCTGGCCTCCATGCTCAAAGTGGATAAATCGAACTCCTGGCCCATAATTTGTGAAGGTGTGAGAGATCTGGGGAGATGGAAAGCAGGGTCATACACATACACACACACACACACACACACACACACCCTTCCTGGCTCTCAGCGGCACCCACTGCAACAAAGGAGACAACAATAAAACCAAAGCTTTCAAAGCCCCCTCCCTTCCTTTTCCTTCCCAACAGGGACTTCTACATTACAGCTATCCATGTTTTCAGCTTACTCACCACCACTAGACCATAACCTCCATGACGATAAGGGCCATCCATATCTTCTCTTCTTTGTATCACCTCCACCACCACCCCCAACACCTAGCACAGTGCTCTGAACTCATAAGTACTTTAATAAATATTTGTTCACGTATTCATCCCAGCAAACCTGCTCGGTGGCTCCCACTCCCCTCGGGGCTCATTTCTGCCACATTTACTTTAATCTCTCTCAATGAATCCCATCTTTTACAGTATATTTAAGACCCTTCTTCAACAACCTTCCCCATCACATACACACACACACACACACACACACACACACACACACACACCCCTCCCTTATTTTCCATAGCCTCAGTTTGAAACGACCTTCTAACACTTTGCTGGGGAAGAAAAAGAGTCCCTAAATTTTCTTCCCCTGCAATGAGTGCAGGATCAGAGGAACTCAGTTATATCCCAGCTCCACTTATTTATTACCTGTGGGACCTGGGATGATAACCTCTCAGGACTACAGTTAATGGCAAACTCAGGGACCTGAAGTAGATAACCTCTGTGGTCCCTTCCAACTCTGTCTATGATCCTGTGATTCTGCACTGAGTTAGAGAATGAATTCACTGAGCATGGAGATTGTCTCTATCCCCCAGTGCTTCCCAAATCCAGTCTTTGAGCTTTGTCCTCCCTTAGTCAGAGCTTTACATACTTGGGACCTGGTTAGCAACAGATACCAGCTACAGAACTAGGGCGCTATGGATCTGGTTTGGAACCTTTCCAGTCCAAGTAAAGAACTACCTGTCTCAAGCTCTGTTGTTCCCAGACCAGCCTACTTCAACCTTTTTGCCTTTTCTAGCCCTGAAGGTAGGAAACAGCTCTCAGTCCGTGAAGCTTCTTCCCTTCTTATCCCCCCCAGCCCCTACCCCTACCGTTGACCCATTCCGGTTCTGAGTTGGCCCAGCCCTTCCTCTATCTGTCCTAGGAGACAGATATATACCTACTTCTCAGATTTCAGGGAGAGAACAGAACTGGTTTCTGAGTCCCTGTCCTCGGGGCTCTAGTCTCCTCCCTACTGCTTTGGCCCTGTCCCCATCTCCATCCATTTGCTACCCAGGGTTCAAGCCCTAATGTCAAGTGGGAAGGAACCTCAAAGACCATCTAGTCTAAGCTCTGCATGACTAAAAATCCCCTTTACAACATTCTTGCTAAGGAATCACTTAACTTCGACTTAAAGGTGAGAGACCCCATCACCCTCTTGAACAACTCTAGCTGTGGGGAAATTTTCCCTTTACATTAAACCTCTACGATTTCTCCTCACTATTCTACATTCTGCTTGGTCCCAGGGGTGAGAACGAGCCCCTTCCGCTTCCAGGCAACTGCCCCTCAAATCCTTTGAGGCAACAGTCCTGCTCCATGCAAGCCTTCTCTTCTATGCTCCAGGTTACATACAGCAATTCCTTCCAAGAGGGTGGACGTATGGCGTACAGACCCCTCGGAATTAAATTATTTCATTTCTTTCCTACTTACTCTATGTTTCTCAGTTAATGATTTTTGTTGTACCCACCATCACACAGCCATAGACTGTAAGCTCCATGAGGGACCTAAACTTTGTATCAGCTGTCTGCCACCTCTCCTTAGGTTCCTAGCCCCAGAGCTGACCTCTTTTCATAGGCTCAGTCCAAGGTCCTGCCAGACAGGCCTTCCCCCAACCTCCCCAAGTAGGGAGAAGCCCCCAGCCCACTCCCAGTCCCCTCTGCTCCATGCCCTTGTCTAACTAAGCCCAGGCTTGCCCTGAATCGTCACGTTGCGTTAGTCACCTCACTCCAGCCTGAGTGTTGGCCCGCAGGCAACGCCACCGTGTCGCTCCTGTATTCGGCCAGCACATCATCATTCTCTGACAGCAGTTTCACGCACAGTTCATAAAGGCAGCCAGCATCGCTCCTACCCGAGTACCTGCAGGGGAGCTCTCTCCTCAGCCCGGCTCCCAATCCCACCCTTTCTTCCCTCCCTAGGACTCTCCCACCCTCATTCACTCCCACCTACTCCCCCTCCCCCTCAAAA